TTTTATTGGACCGAGCGGTTCTGAGTCAAAATTACCGAATTGGTCGCTTGTACGACCAAATGATTGTCTGCTATGCTATAATTCCGAGCGGAATTATACACTAGGAACCGAATACAAACGTACCCAGCGGGACCTACAAAGATGCACCAATCAGAATAGATAAATTTATCAGCCAATCATATAACGTCCGGCCGATTGTCCCGATTGTCGGCGAATACATGTATATATATTATATATTATATAATAAGATTATTGTTTCACTTGTACTATTTCTTTGTCATTGTTTATTATTATTATTATTATTATTATTAGTGCTATCTTTCTACTTAATGATAATTCTGGGCTCTTTTTCGTGTTGTGGGCTATCTGTTTAAGATGACCAATAGCTTTTTGGTAATGTCATTGACCAGTTATTGATATTTTCGCATTTTTACTAATCATTTAGTGAATGCAGATTCTTGTCAACTCATCTTGATCAAATCAATTCCTCTTTGTCATTTAATCACTTCTGTTTTTTATTCTTTATCCAGTGAACTTGCTGTATTTGGTTGTTGATGATTATATTTAGTTCTCTGAATATTTTCTTTTGATATTGTCAGTATTTACCAAATTTCTCCAATTTGCACCAATATTCAAGCCATACAAATTGTTATTGGTATTGACTGGATTTTGTAACATTGCCAACAAGTATTTTATTATTTTGGTTTCTTTGTAGTTATACACATGAATTTTTTAATTTGTTGATTATCGATTAGTTATAATGATTAATAATGAATAAATTATTTTTTCTTTAACGTTTGCTTTGATTAATGAAGTTATTTTGCTGAAAATGGAATGATTTTTAATTGAAATTATTATAATTTCACAAAAACTTTTATTTCTATCAGATATATTACTTTTTTTCACTATTTTTTATTGCAATAGAAACTTTGTCAACATTTTAATAATTATATACATAAATTTTTCAATTTGTTGGTAATAATAATTGATAATGAGTAATTTATCTTTTTTTTTGTTGAAAATGGAATGATTTTTAATTGAAATTACTATAATTTCACAAAATTTCTGTTTCTATCAAATTCTTGGCTGAAATAATATATATTAATCATTCATATTATTTGTAAAATATAATATTGCTTAATACATTTAAAAATTTATTAAAAATATTATAATTATTAATTAATATTTAAAATATAATAAAAATTCTATATTAATAAAATATATATATATATATATATAATAACTATATAATTATATTTTTGTTATAAATTCTTCTTTTCATTTTTTTTGATATATTTATATTATTTATATTATAATAATATTTTTAAATTGAGCCAATTTTGTAACTCTATTTTATATTCAAGTTTTTCTTAAATATAAAAGTTCATAAAATTATAAAAACTAAATAAATTATTAAATTCAACTAATTTCAAATATTATTTAATTATTTTTTTTATTATCTTCATATAATTAAGATAAAAATATAGTTTATTCTTTAGCTTTTTATATTTGATGATAAATAAGATAATTATAATATATTTTGATATCTTTTGCAATCTTAAGCATTTTTTGTATATAATATTATATAATTTATAAGTAATAATTATTCTTATTAATAATTTTATTTTGTAAATTAGCAACTAAATCTTTCAATTTATTAATTATTTATTAAAAATGATCAGATATAGAATTTTCAGAATTATTGTTAGATAATATAAGTAATAAAAGAGAATTAATATTAATATTATTATTTAAATTAATATTATTTTAAGTAAATATAACTTAATAGTTTAGTATTAATATAATCAATATATACAAAAGAATATTGTGTATATCAACATTAAAGAAAAAATTAACTGAATTATTATCTGTAATATTAATAAAATACTTATATAATATGAATTAACTAACTAGATAAATCAGATAATTGCATATTTATTTTTGAATATTTGTATAATATTGACTTAGTTATGATTTTATTTTTTTGTCAAAAATCACCAAATTTTTTTGAAATTTTTTTTATATAGCTTTAATATAATTAACAAGAATGAAATTATATTTAATAATTAATTATAATACAAAATGATTAATAATAATATAAATAAGTAAATCAAAATGAGAATAATAAAACTAATATAAAAAATTATATTTAAATAATTTTCAATAAATCTTAATAATTATTATTATATATACTAATAGTATTATAAACTAGTAAATTATATTAATAATTTAGTTAATACTATTCAATTCAAAGATATATTTACAAATACAAAAATTATTATTAATATAAAAATTATATAATTATTTTATAAATTATAGTTAATATTAAAAATATCTTTGAGAATATTTGAACAATAATTAAAGTGTTCTATTATAAGAGTTAATAATTAATTATATAAAAAAATGATAAATAAAAATATTATATATTTGTAAAAGAATAAATATGAACTCAATAAAGCTAAAAAGCTTATATACTATTTCTGAATTATAAATCATCTTTTTTGAATATTCTTGATTTTATAATCTATATAAAATAGTATGATACAAATATTATCTCTTAAATTTTATTACGAGTTCTGAACTCAGATAGATAATCTCATAATATATATGTTCAACCAATATCTATTATATTTTCTTGATGCTTTATTAACTTTGATCCAGTTGTGTTAGGATTAGTGTATAATACAGCTTCTTTTATTTTAATAATAAATATGATTACTATTACTAATAAATATCTTTCTTTATATTTACTTAGTATATGAATAATCCTATAGTAATATAATACTAATTTTTTATAGCAATCTGATTAAATTATTCAAGAGTACATAATAAGATAAATATTATAATAGATTAATTATAAAATTAATTAATATACAATTTTATTAAATAATTAACAAGAAATAGTTTATTGATTAGTTAAATTTTGTATTGATCAATTGATATCTTTTTCAAAGTTTCAATTGTGCTTTACTTATAATAATTATTTTTTACTAATAAATATTACAAAATAATAATAAATATAATATATTGAATATATTGAATATTTTGAATATATTGAATATATTAAATATATTAAATATATTGAGTATAATGAATATTTTGAATATATTAAATATATTTGATATATTTAATATTTTTGATAAAAATATAGTATATTTTTAATCAAATTAATATAAATTTGTAATCTTGATTTATAATTTGATTAATTTCTGTAATTTATTATAAAATAGTTTTAAAATTTAAGATTAATAATAAAAATTTTTTATAATTATTTATTTTTAATTTATAGATAACTATAATTTTTTTATAATTATTAAAAAAATAAAAATAATTATTATATAATATATAATTAAAGTTAAAATTAAACAAAATTTTTTTAATTTATTTGATAAAAATATATTAGATATAAATTTATAGATTTTTAGCAGGCAAATTTGTCTGCTAAATCTGATAGTTTAAGATATAAATATAATTAAATTTTTATATCAGATTAAACTTTTTTTATAGTATTAATTTGAACAAAATCTTTATTAATGAAAAGAAAGAAATGATTAATTTTTTATTTTTATAGTACATATAAATAATTAATCAAAGTTATAGTATATACAATCAAATTTCTTTATAATCATATACATTTATAATTATATTGTTCTATAATTATCTGGTTTGCTTTTTTATTTATATATAAATATAATAAAAAAATCTTTTTATAGTTACATTCTCTCTATAATCATCAAATTTTGCTTTTTCAAGAGTAGTAATTATAGAAATTTGACTATATATTAAATATAGTTAATGATAAATTTAAAAGCAAATATAATAGTAGATAATTTATACTTTTAATATTTATCATAACTATATAAAGCTTGTATTTAGTATTATTTATTTTATATATAGTATTTATATATATTTTATTATATATTGTTACCATTTTATCTTTCATCAACTATATCTCGTTATATTTTAGCACAATAATATTTATTTAAACTTTTTTTTTTATTTTTACTTTTCTATATTTCTTACATTTTTATTCAAAAGCAATAATTTATATTTTTTATCCAATTATTTTACATTATTATTGCATCATTTTAGTTTAGATTTCATCATCATTTAATTTACCAATCAATTCATACTATTATCACATCATTTTATATTCTAAATCTTATTGG